CTTATAATAAAAACAATTTGTTTTGTAAATACTGTAATGACAACGTCACAACAAATGTAGTTTTGAGTTTGCTAGCTACAATATAAAACTATTTACAGTTTTAATAAAAGAATATTATACCAAACAACTTGTTTTGATGTCTGTGTCAATCTGTGTTAGGAGTCTCTCTCTCTCTATATATATGCATGTTGACAACAACTGTTATAGAGGTCCTTGTCCTGTTCAAGGTCAAAAATGTTTTACTTTTGTTCACATTAGTGAACCAAAAATACATCTTTCCCTTTGCACTATTGGATTTCCTATAACCAATCCCAGACTGCTAAAAAATGAAATGGGCAGACTGGATGCCAATCAAATATCCAGTTTTGTCAGGGTTCGTACACCTTCTCCGATTTAGAATTCCATGACTTCCCATGACTATTTTTTTCAAAATCCATGACCTGGAAGTCTGGAATTTCTGAAATTCGTTAATACTTTAACGATAACAGATATAGTAAAAGAACAAAATTCACTTCGCTCTTGCAAAAATCTGTTATATAACAGCAATTCATATTATTGTTATGACTGGTAAATTGAAAACAGCAATTCATATTATTGTTATGACTGGTAAATTGAAATAAGTAAAATACTTTGTTATGTCATGTAAAATTTTAATTTCCCACGACTTTCCATGACTAGAATTGATTTTCCAGGATTTCCAGGCCTGGATTTTGGAATATTGAAATTCCATGACTTTCCAGGTTTTCCAGGACCCGTACGAACCCTGTCTTGTGTGAGAAACACTTCACACCCGATGATTATATTAACCCATCGAGTTGCAATGCACCCTACTTTATTATTTTACTCTGTCTAACGCCAGACAATTTTACTCATCAAGGGGAGAGCAGTGGCACTTAATGGGTTAACTGGCCTATCTGCCCATGTGTCTAGTTAACCCATTGAGTCGTTTTGTGCCCTATTTTATTATTTTACTCTGTCTAACACCAGACAATTTTACTCGTCAAGGGAAAGTGCTGATGCTTATAAGTCAGCTGTCTCAATGGGAGAGTGCCTGAAGGGGAGAGTGCCTGAAGGGGAGAGTGCCTGAAGGGGAGAGTGCCTGAAGGGGAGAGTGCTGATTGTGGAGAGCAATCAATAAAAGGCCAATCCAACTTATCCAAGAAATATCTAAACGAAGATGCCGTCCCATCTATTTTTGATTATCAATGATGAATCAATCAGGTTTCTTGGAGAGAACTAGACACTGTGAAGGTTTTTGATGCATACCAGACAAATTAGTCAGTTTCTTCAAACTAGTTTAGCTGTCACTAGTTCTCTCTACAAACCTGATTGATTCATCACTTTTCACTGTCCAGGCAATATAGACTTGAGATCCCTTGACATCTGCAGCAGCAAGGAGGTTGTCAAAGTCACACTAAACAGAGCATCAGAATTTTCGCACCAGCAGACTTAATAAATCAAGTAAAATAGGTTTTAACTTCAAAATACTTCACAATATTATTCCCTGTTATATATCCCAACCGAGATCCTCGAGAAAAAAAGCACCCAAAGAACCAAAACCTTTATTTTCTGTAACAAAATGTCTCAACTGCTCAACCGTCTTTGTGATGATTTTCAGATAACATTTAGCGATCGATTATTTCGTCTTTATTAAACTTAAATTGTACAAATATTCATCCAAAACCTTCACACCAGTTAGGTCTTGCCAAAATAAAGTGATAGAACAGGATCGGAAGCTGTAGGACGACGCAAAATGCGAAAAACATGGTTTTTCCCTATACCGCTCTATGATTTTTGCCCGGTTAAGCCGCCATTTTGAATGCTCATGAGTGTCACGCGCGTGCGTTATAGAAAACATTAGAGTCAGCAATCTAGGTCTCCTATATCTATGGCGAAAACAGGTGGCTTTCAAAAATATTATGTGGTCAGTGGTAAATCGCCCGAAAATAGTGGACGCGGAGCTCGAAATCCGCCATGTTTTTGCGGACACTTTTTTGTTTGACGAGATATGGGAGCACGATCTCCAGATATAGCTTAGTGGTTGGCACAGAGCGGAAAAATTTTGCTCTCTAAATCATCGGAAATGGCATTTTCAAAGTCTTTTATACGTCTTTTGTTTGGCCCTTTCATTAATTCGTTCATTATGATTTGTGAGTCTATGATATCCGCGAGTCAGATGGATTACGAGAAATGTTATCAAAATATCGATTACAGATATTTGATTATATGTATATACGATTTCAAATACTTCTAGTTTCGTAATCAAATTGTTGGTTTGTTTTTTTTGGTGGGGGCCAAAATTATTCCCCCCCCCCCCGCTATAAAACACTTGGTTGAGGGCCTGTTGCCCTTTGCGGTCACTAACTTGTCCAACAACTCAAACTCTATAGGGTCTGGGAAATGCAACCACTGCCTGGGAAATGTTTAAAATCTAATAAGGTATTTATATTAAACATAAAAGACAGGACATAACATTCACAAAGCAAATTTCAGTTACTAGAATATCAAACCTCCCTTCTAAATTCAATGTTTTGCTTATATTTTAGAGAAAAGGGACTTTGACTGGGGGGGCAACATGGTTGAGTGGGGGGGCACCATGAGGGCTGGCTTTGCCCCCCCCCCCCAGTTATATAGTTAAAAAATGCCCTGCAACGAATTTCAAAGCGAATTGTACTCAAGGCTGCCACTCGTAGGGGGATTCCCCTACAGTAGGGGATTATGACATGTTGTAGGGAGTGGGGAATACCTACGGGGAGAAAAGGTAATCTGTAGGGGAGCGTAGGGGATTTCTTCACGGTTTGAATTGAAAAAAAAATTGTGTGTCTGTTTATGGTATTATGAATTACAAAATGGAACTAGCACTATTAAACTGCAGGATAATCAGGGTTTTTTATGGAAACAACTAGAATTTTAGATTTGAATTGAATGTGGAAGCACTGGAATATGTGATATATAAATAACTCCACGTGTCATCACTTCATAAGAGGCTCTGGTACCCAGGGTACCGGCACAGAATAAAGAATGAACAGAAAGGCCACTCCTTTGATGTTTTTGACGCTGCCGCTTCGCACCGGAAATTGACGGCCGCCATGTTGCTGGCAAGTAGATTGCAGCAAGTATAATAGGGAAATGTATTGGCGAAAAGTGCATTTTCAGTAATAAAATGGAAAATTTTCGTGATTTTGTCTTTTATCGTATTTTCTGTGGATAGTACATTAAAGGCGAAGGTAAGAGGAGTGTATTTTTGTATTTATGAGATTAACAACTGTATTTAAAGTGATTGAAATCGTTCGTAAGAGTGAGCAGTATGTGGACACAAGATGGTACTGTTTAGACAAATGAATGATATATTGAATATCTGAAAAAATGTCGTTAGATATAACTTTTCTGGACTATTCACGTTTATATTATGTTCTTTCTTGGAGTTCTGTTCAATCATCAATGTCAATAATTATTAATATATAAAATATTTTTAAAATATCAATGTTAAATGCTGGTTTTGATCTTTGATTTAATCATAATGATGGTAAATACTAATCTTGGCATTTTATACCACTTAGATTCTCGAGACTATATTTACATAAATGTAACATGAATATAAAGCATGGTTTATAAGATGTAGGTGGTTTATAAATGGGTTACTTTGATATATTTTCTGCTTTTCTTTTTAGCTGCAAAGTTCCTGTTTGCAAACTTGATTGTGTAATAGATACGCATCCTTAGAAACAACTTCAGCATATATTCCACAGGAAATGTTGGGCAGTGTTGGAATGTGATGGGTATACCATTAAGGGTCTTCAGCAGCTTACCACCGACTGTTGTGGACTTGGTATAAACTGAGAAGTTTTTCACGAAGCTGTCCTCCAGGCGCAAAATATAGTCGAGGAAACACTGAGGAGGCATATGTAATCCTCCAGAACTATTGTCCTCTTTATAGTTTTTGAAGTAGCAGAATAATTTGCTGCTGTTATCCAAATTCGCTGACTCCAAAGTCTCTTTACATGTGGAACAGTCATGGATGTTGAAACATTTCTTCAGGAGATATCCTGCAACATATGCAACAGCATTTTCTTGGACTACACCAGAACTAACATGTTGCTCTCGGTAATCTGTTGCACCAATAACCAGTGTTTGTGGTTGGGGACTTGGCTGCACCAGATTGCTGGACTTGCTTGAAAACTCTGATGTGCAGAAGTTTAATGAATTAAGTGTAATCATCAAGTATTGTCAAAATATTGATTGTATTCAATGCAGTAAAATATAAATTAAATGTAGATGTCTTCTGAATGCTTTCCTGTCATATATTTCGGGGATGGATCCATCGTGATCTGGTAGGGGGGTGGGAGGGGTTGCTCTGCCAGCTCTGGTGCCAAGTTGTGTTGGTCAGGTGTGCCACCTACCCATCAACTTGCTTGACTACTGCAAAGTCTTGCTTGACTATTGTATTTGGATTGTTGTTCACCGTTTGCTTATTATCAAGTTATTACTCAAATTACTGTATCTCATTTTGTCTGTAATATTTTTTTGATTTATCATAAAAAATAGCACACACCCCCTGCCCCCTTTGGTCAGGGCTAGGGGTGTGTGCACCCCACCCCCCAGTAAATTCATCCAGGATATTTGTGTCTTTTTTGCCCAAATGACAGATTTTTACCCAACTGCGAAAGTCTTGCAGTTGCCAGAGAAGCTTAGCCATCCGGTTTTTGAATAAGGGAACTTTGTTGTGCCTTTATTTCAATGCATGTATATACTGCAGTTATCTAAGGCATCCTATGTCAGAATAACTGGAAAACCAATGTAATACACGTAGCCTATACATCAAAATTGTGCTGTTATGGAAAGCATAGTCCATCACGTACGTATTCCTGCCACAGTCTGCCATGGGTACAGCAGAGTTCATTTCTAAATTTGATTCTTTATTTGATAGTGTCAACAGTTCAACACTACATTCACCTAAAGATCTTAAAAGGGCCTTCACTGAAAAATCCAATCACATTAATTTCCTTAAAGAAGTCATTAATTTCATAATAAGCTTGAAAGTATATAATGGGGATACAGAGGTAACAGGTAGAATTAAGTGCCTTAAGGGGTGGCTTGTAACCCTTGATGCTATCCTATTAATCTGGGATGATCTGAAGAAGAACCACAATTTCAAATTTTTATACACACGAAGATTGAATACAGACCCATTAGAAAACTTCTTTGGCACTATACGACAACAGGGAGGGAATAGTGACAATCCAACCCCTACACAGTTCACAAGGGCATTTAGGAAACTACTCTTCAGTTCACTTCTAACTTCAACTACTGGTAACTGTGCAGAAGATTTGGATTCCCTCCTTTCACAGTTTTCCAGCAAGTCCAGCAATCCTGTTCTGGTGCAACCAACTCCCCAACCACAAACACTGGTTATTGGTGCAACAGATTACCGAGAGCAACATGTTAGTTCTGGTGTAGTCCAAGAAAATGCTGTTGCATATGTTGCAGGATATCTCCTGAAGAAATGTTTCAACATCCATGACTGTTCCACATGTAAAGAAACTTTGGAGTCGGCGAATTTGGATAACAGCAGCAAATTATTCTGCTACTTCAAAAACTATAAAGAGGACAATGCTTCTGGAGGATTACATATGCCTTCTCAGTGTTTCCTCGACTATATTTTGTGCCTGGAGGACAGCTTCGTGAAAAACTTCTCAGTTTATACCAAGTCCACAACAGTCGGTGGTAAGCTGCTGAAGACCCTTAATGGTATACCCATCACATTCCAACACTGCCCAACATTTCCTGTGGAATATATGCTGAAGTTGTTTCTAAGGATGCGTATCTATTACACAATCAAGTTTGCAAACAGGAACTTTGCAGCTAAAAAGAAAAGCAGAAAATATATCAAAGTAACCCATTTATAAACCACCTACATCTTGCTTTATATTCATGTTACATTTATGTAAATATAGTCTCGAGAATCTAAGTGGTATAAAATGCCAAGATTAGTATTTACCATCATTATGATTAAATCAAAGATCAAAACCAGCATTTAACATTGATATTTTATATATTAATAATTATTGACATTGATGATTGAACAGAACTCCAAGAAAGAACATAATATAAACGTGAATAGTCCAGAAAAGTTATATCTAACGACATTTTTTCAGATATTCAATATATCATTCATTTGTCTAAACAGTACCATCTTGTGTCCACATACTGCTCACTCTTACGAACGATTTCAATCACTTTAAATACAGTTGTTAATCTCATAAATACAAAAATACACTCCTCTTACCTTCGCCTTTAATGTACTATCCACAGAAAATACGATAAAAAACAAAATCACGAAAATTTTCCATTTTATTACTGAAAATGCACTTCTCGCCAATACATTTCCCTATTATACTTGCTGCAATCTACTTGCCAGCAACATGGCGGCCGTCAATTTCCGGTGCGAGGCGGCAGCGTCAAAAACATCAAAGGAGTGGGCCATCTATTCATTCTTTAATCTATGGTACCGGTCTCCACGACAGTGCTTCCATTTTCAAGGAAATTTCCTTTTCTAAGGAAATTCTAGTGTCGAAAAGGAAAATCTAAGGAAGAGAAAAAATCTAAGGAAATCTAAGGATTTTTTCCCAACAACTTAAATATTCATCCAAGTGCATTAGTGCCGAAGAATGTTTCGCTATTTCTTGAATTTTTGAGCGAATTATCAATTATGTTCAATTAAAAATCTGGTTTTAACTTTTTCCTCGTGTTTCCGAAAACTTCCGAAAGTTTTTGAGCGACAGGATTTGGTATCTTTTGGCGCCGTGATGCGGAGAAATGCGATATTTGTAGGGGAACGTAGGGGAATGTAGGGGAAAATTACATATTGACTTGTAGGGAAAAGTAGGGGATTTTAGTACTAGCCTTAGGTGAAAATAGGCTATTGAGAGTGGCAGCTCTGATTGTACTGCGCTCGCCTAGTGCGATTAGAAATTCGAATTATCATCGAGTATTGGTTCAATTCTTTTATACATTTGTTGGCTCTTAAAAGAGCCGGTTTTTATTTTGAAGGTTTCATAGGAAAACCTCTTTACTTGCTGCTTGTGTACTTTGTCACAGCTTTCGTTCCTTCGCTGACAGCGTGCTTGGCCAACTCTCCGGGCAAGAGCAGACGAACCGAAGTCTGAATTTCTCGCGACGAGATGGTCGACTTCTTGTTGTAGTGGGCCAAACGAGAAGCTTCACCGGCAATTCGCTCGAAAATATCATTCACGAACGAGTTCATGATGCCCATAGCCTTGCTGGAGATACCAGTATCGGGGTGGACTTGCTTCAGAACTTTGTAAATATAGATAGCATAGCTTTCTTTACGTTTCGTTCGTCTCTTCTTGTCGCCACCAACTCCGGCTTTCTTGCCAGCTTTCTTCCCACCTTTTGAAGCAACACCAGGTTTCACAGGCATCTTCTTTCTAGTTCTTGACAGTAAAACGTTTATCCTCTCTGTGAAAACAGCAATTTCGCAATGAAGGAAATTTGAAGATAACTCCTTTTATAATAAATTTGAGGTGGTATCTAATTACAGCAGATCAAAAGTAGTGCATTTCGATTGGCTGCTGCGGCAGTCGGACGTCTGCGAAGCTTTCTGAAAAGATAATTTATTTTACTTTGTGATTTTACTTATCCGATAATTATTCAGCTTTGTTTGTTAATTATTCCACAAGAGCTATCCTTCTTTGTTCACTAGAATTTTTATTTGTTTATTGCTTTTAGTGATTTAGTCTTCTGCATGCCTACATTATCACACTCACAGAGACATACTTGTAAATCTTCCCAAACAAAAAGTGGTTTCGAATAAAATATTATAAACACTACAAATTCTCAAAGTTTCAACCTCGTACCCAGGAGTTCTGCGCTTATTGCTCTCAGAAGGCCTGGGATAATACGGTTAGATGGAAAACACGGAGTCGGAGTTCCGGAGTCGGAGTCCCGGAGTCGGAGTCCCGGAGTCGGAGTCCCGGAGTCGGAGTCCCGGAGTCTGACGTCATAAAAATATGGAAAACACGGAGTCATATGGAAAACACGGAGTCTGACGTCAGAGAAAAATATGGAAAACACGGAGTCATATGGAAAACACGGAGTCTGACGTCATAAAAATATGGAAAACACGGAGTCATATGGAAAACACGGAGTCTGACGTCATAAAAATATGGAAAACACGGAGTCATATGGAAAACACGGAGTCTGACGTCAGAGAAAAATATGGAAAACACGGAGTCATATGGAAAACACGGAGTCCACCATAAAATATGGAAACACGGAGTCTGACGTCAGAGAAAAATATGAAAACACGGAGTCTGACGTATTGTCAGCGTGAAATATGGAAAATAGTAATTAAATAATATATAATTTATGCGAATATAAACAAACGGACGAATTTATAATATAACGAATTGGAAATTTTCTGCACTAATTCTGGTATTTCTCTAAAATGTCGTGAAAATATGGATTAATTATTTTTAAATACAATCAAGCAAATAATATTGTTTCTCTAGCTTTTCGTGTGACTTGTTCAGTTGTACAATATTTGAAGTGATTTTAATGCGGATTTTGTTCACCTCGCATGGTATGTTGATAAAAATATAGTTTATATACTTAATACTGCTAGAATATTTCATAGTCGATTAGCATGTAATATTTATAACACACAAAACAGATATGCTGCTTGGAAACAGCGTTGTTATTTATGCACCTATCAATGTTAAGCCCAATAAATACTATATTAATAACAGTCATTTGATTTTTTGAGCAAATTTTCAATCAAATGCCCCACCGTCGGGCAATAAATATTGGTCAAATGCCCCACCATTTTGCAATAAATTGCAATAAATACTATATTAATAACAGTCATTTGGTTCAAATTGCCCCAACTCAGGGCCAAAAATTAAATGCTAATCAAAATCCCCAGGGTGGGATGCAATTGATGATCAAATACCCCACATATGCCCCACCTACCCCCCTCTGGGGGTTAACATTGATAGGTGCATTAGGCCACATAAAATAAATATAGAAATTTTGTATTTCATAAAGTATTACAATCATACAATGCTTTTGAAAGGGATAATTTTAAGTGAAACCCACCTGTTGTGGACTTAAAATAAAATTGTAAACTGATGATCGATGCAGAACCACTGCCACTGGGATAGGGATATTGCTAGGAATACTGCTAGGGATTGTGGCACACTATAAAATTAAGAAATTTACGGATTGTTTCATTATAAACACTGGAATGCTCATACTGGATGGTTGTACAATAAGCAAAATTTGCCTTAGTAAAGTAAGCCAGTATCTAGGCTGGCTTACATTACATATAAACATCCCCTATAATCCTATACTATAGTTGGAAAAAATTAAGAAGTAAATTTCCCTTCAATATATGCAATTTGTAGTTATAGTTGTATATATAGGCATAAAAATGGCTGAAATAGTTTAAAATTCAATAAATTGGGTTGACATGAAAATATTCTACCAACTGTTTTTGTAGCCATAGGTGTTAATTTAAACCATGCAATTAATGCTCAATATATCTTACATAGATTCATAGTGACATACAAGTCTATGCCACTACGGGTAGGGATAAAACGCTGAAACTGAATCGCGGAAACGGAAACTGAAAGCGGAAACTGAAATGGGGGTAAAACACTGAAATGGGGGTAAAACGCTGAAATGGGGGTAAAACGCTGAAATGGGGGTAAAACGCTGAAATGGGGATAAAACACTGAAATGGGGGTAAAACGCTGAAATGGGGATAAAACGCTGAAGTGGGGAAATTTAATCGAATTCGATGTTTGCTAGACCATTGCGAACGGCAATTGCTAGACAGTACACTTCAAAATAAGGTTTGCGTTTTTATAACGTAGAAAAAACTATCCTAACATAAGGCTAAACCCTAACCCTAATACTAACCCTTACCCAGTAACCCTAACCTAACCCTAACCTAAACCCTAACCCAAACCCTAACCTAACCCCCAACTTATTTTAAAAATTGATATAAAAACGGAAACCTTATTTTGAAGTATACTATCTAGCAATTGCCGTTCGCAATGGTCTAGCAAACAACGAATTCGATTAAATTTCACCATTTCAGCGTTTTATCCCCATTTCAGTGTTTTACCCCCATTTGAGCGTTTTACTCCCATTTCAGCGTTTTACCCCCACATCAGCGTTTTACCCCCATTTCAGCGTTTTACCCCCATTTCAACGTTTTACCCCCATTTCAGCGTTTTACCCCCATTTCAGCGTTTTATCCCCATGTCAGTTTCCGCTTTCAGTTTCCGCTTTCAGTTTCCGTTTCAGCGTTTTATCCCTACCCATGCCACTACACCACTGCAAATCTGCATTCATAGTTCATACGATTGAGCATCTCATGGTTTAAATTAACACCTATGGCTACAAAAACAGAATATTTTCATGTCAACACAATGACATTGTATTGAATTTTAAACTATTTCAGCCATTTTTGTGCCTATATATACAACTAACTACAAATTGCATATACTGAAGGGAAATATATTTCATTCTAGATTTGTTTTACTTCTTAATTTTTTCCAACTATTGTAGGATTATAGGGGATGTTTTATATGTAATGCAAGCCAGCCTAGATATACTGGCTTACTAAATTTACTATGGGCCTGTTTATATGGAAGCCGGGCTGGCCCGCTAAGCAAGACAGCCCGGTAAGTGAGATCTCGCTGTGCAGTTATTTTTATAGTA